CCCTGGACTTTCCCACATGGCCAAATCTCTGGCATTTGCCTGAGGCTAGAATCCCATCAACTGGCCTTTCATTGTGGCTACACCCTATCTCCCCTCCATTGTCTTACCTCCTTATGGCCCCTGGCCATTTCCCACACTTAATCCTAGCTAGGCTCCGTTTTCCAGGTCCTAGGAGTTCTGTTCACCCCAGTTTACTGGTCACTCCCATTCAGATCTCCTTAGGCCCTTCCTCCTCTCACCTCAAACTACTTGGCCACTCCTAGGTCCCTCCCATAGTCTTTCTGTATATAAGGTCCATCTTTGTCTCCATTAAGGGGCTTAGATTCTTAAAATCTAGCCACTGCTGAGATTCTTATAATCTAGCCACTGCTTACTCATGTTCAGACTCCTTAAGCGTCTGCCCAATATGACAGATGTTCTAATAAACCTTGTCTTTGGCTGAAAACAAAAATTAAGTGGTTGGCTCAATATCACAAAGATAGTTAATGGCAGAACAAGGACTTCTTACTCCACATTCAGTTCACTTTCAACTATAACACAATACGTGACTCTAAAAATATTAATTCTATGATTTCAAACATCTTCCGGGAAAGAAACTAAAGTTCAGAAATAGGGTAGGATTTTAAAGACAAATTGATCTCATCCTTTCTATTAAAAATAGCTTAGTACCATTAAAAATAATTAATTTAAAAAGTTAAGTAAATTCCACACGTGGTTTGAAAGGCGAGTCTAAATATTTAGTGAAAGAGAGATCAGAATCACAAACCATCCTATGGGTTTAGCATCAGAGGACCTGGATTCAAATGCCAACATTCACTTACAAAATGTGCACATTTGCACTTGGACAAGTAACTTAACCAGTCTGGGCCTCAGTTGGGTCATCCATACAGTGAGGAGATTCCACTTGATGAATACCTCTTAAGTTTCCTTCCAGTTCTAACATCTTTGATCCTATGATCTGTGAATGGTGAGTAACCTCAGAGCCCTGACCAAAACACCATTTAATAATAGTTAATAATGTCAACACATGATCTTTTATTGACACAACAGTCCTACGAGGAAGGTCGTGCAAGTATTTGTCGTTTGGTCATTTTTCAGTCATGTCAAACTAATGTTGGAAATTTAAAGCTAAATATGGACAATATTATGATAAACCTCATTTGGGGTTTTCTGGCAAAGATACTGGTGTGGTTTGCTGTTTCCTTCTCCAGCTCTTTTATAGATGAGGAAACTGAGGCAAACGGGGTTAAGTGACTTGCCCAGGGTCACACAGCTAGTAGGTGTATAAGGCCAGATTTGAACTCAGAACGATCGGCCTTCCTGACTCTAGGCTTGGGACTCTATGTACTATGGCACCACCAACTTCACCTCGTACAAGTACATTTATGCCCATTTTATGGATGAGGAAACTGAGCCTCAACAGCTTTAAGCAATCTGCTACAATCACTAGGGTTGCAAAGCAAGTTCATCCTAAATTTTCAGATTCCAGGCTCAAAACTCTTTTAGCAAGACTAAGTTGCTTTAGACAATTAAATTTTGTGGCAGACAGCTTCCTCTGTAAGCCTCAAACCCCTTTGAGAGCTTTCTTACATTAGCACATGATTAGAATTGTAGGAATCTAGTGCTGAGAGCTTGAAGGTTTTGCCAGTCAAACAGGAGGTCACTGCTATTAGGTGAGATAATAGGAAAGGATTAATGGCTTTCCTTGACTGCTGACTGGCCTCTCCCTCCTTGGTCTTTCCTCCTGTTGCAAGCTAATTCTTTCATAGTCAGAGTGCAGATGACAGCTCTCATCTCTCTTGATCTAGGTACCATTGTTACATGGAAACATGGAGCTGACAAGCTAAATCACCACATCTCCTGAAAACCTTGCTTTGGAATAGTTCAGTGATGTACAATGAGGGTAATGGAGTTGGGGTGGTGGGGAGAGGAGGGGAGGGGAGGCAAGGTTAAAAGTTAGAAGGCTGTGCTTATAGATATCCTGCCCACATTTGTGGGAAATGCTAAAGTGAGGGTGAGGGAGGAGGCACCACTGAAAAAAAAAGGAGAAAGAAATGAAAGAAGAAGAGAAGGTTCCATTGAGCTAGGTTACATTATTTCCCAAAGTTTCCATTTCAGTTGATGAGTTGAATTATTAAACTTATGTGTAAATACCACATTGCTGCCCGGAGAGCCTCTATGTTCCAAACAGGCTGACTTGAAGTAGGGACAGGAGGAGATGGAATATTCAGCAAATGGCATATGTCCCAATCAATTGCCTGTTTGGTCCGTGGTTTGCAACTGGTAGGAAAACCTGAAATGTCCAATGAGTGAATTACCATCTCCCTCCTGGGGGAATGTCTTGCCAGCTTGTACCCAAGGGGCCTGAGTTAAGAGGGTTGTAAAGCTGTTTTATGGAGCTGCTTTTCCTTGGCCCACAAAAAGGACAAGAGCTTCCGAAGCAATCCATCCAACACCTTTCACTAGCGCTCATCTCACTACCTAGCACAGTCATAGACTTTTAAAACTTTAATATTTAATTGATTAAAACAAAATGAGGAGAGGCAACTGCTGGAAATCTGCCTGGAAGGGTTTTATGCTTAAAGTCTATACTTCAAGGATCTGCTATTTTGCCAATGTGTGTGTATTACCTCCACTTACACAGATTGCAGTCGCTGTCTTTGGGCTTCAGGAGATGCTCTCTCTGAGTTGCCATAGCTAGAAAAAATTTTATCACCCTGTTGTGGCCAACCTGGTGACGAACCTCCTGAACTTACATAGGCTGGTCCTGAGATGACAAACACAGTAAATAATCACTGAGCCAAACTTGCAGCCTTTCTAGCTTGGGAAGAACTGAAGGATTTCATGTTCCACGTATGGAGCCTCAAGAACCTAGGTCCATGATGAGGTATTGGAGAAGGACATTGGTTCTAGCAAAGTGTAGACTCAATGCCCTCCACAGCCCTAAATCATCTCAATAATCTTTAAATGAAGCATTCATACAATGGAATTGTCGTATTTATTCTGACTTCTGACAAGTTTGGAAAAAGCTGGAAAAAATATTTGATATAAACCAAACTTCCTGAAACTTGGGGCATTTTTACTTTTCTTTTATTATTATTTTTATTATTATTGTTTTCAGTATAGCCTTTTCAATGTTTTTGCCACTGATTCCTAACCTGATCAATGAATCCTGAGCAGTATCTTGTATTCTCTAGGGAAGGAGTCAGCAGACAGCCAAGGCATCCTCTGCTCTGGTCTGTTCATTAACCATTTGCAAAACTCAGCACCTGTTAAGCATACACACTATTTGCCTGTCTTGCTGCTATATTGACTCTGTTTCTCTCTGTGTGGATGGATGGATGGATGGATGGATGGATGGATGGATGGATGGATGGATGGACGGATGGGTGGATGGGCAGGTGGATGGATGGATAGATACACAGATGATACATAGATGACATATAGATAGATTTTAAATAAATTAGATACATATAGGCATATAGAAATAGATAGAATAGAATTATCCTTTGAATCCGCAATATGTGTGAAGTGTTATCCCTAACTAAAGAAAGAATTGCTAAACCAGGAATGACAATTAAAATAGTTTTTAATTAGAATAGCCATTAATTAGGAACATTTGCACTTAGGGCCCCGTATTTTCATGGAAACTATGGTAACGTGAAAATATTGAGTGACCTTGGCCTCCTTTTGGAAAAGAATATGTAATTCACAAATTCTGACAAAGATTAAAGACATCTAATGTTCAATAACATTCTAGAGTTCAGTTTAAACAAACTATTATGGTTGACAATAGAAGTGTTTAGTTCTAATTCTTTGACAATTTTTAACCAAATATATTAGCTAAAAACAACTTGGACTAAAGTCTATAAAACGGGAAAACTATTAGAAAATCCAAACACCAAAAAAAGATCTCATATCTATTAAATACATCCTGGGTACCATATTGACTAGATCGGATTTGCATAGTTCTGCATATACATACCCACAGACTCTTCTCCATAATTGTTTGCTTTATCATTATAAGCTTTGGTCATCTTCTGCCAGGAGGTGGGGAAAAATTCTTATTAACTGGTTAACTTTCTTCTTGGATTTTAACAAGATGACTTTCTTCTCCGTGGAATATCACTTTTATTCTGGGAAGCCTATAAATCACATAATAATAAAAGGGAAAAACAGAAAGCACTGGATCCAGAGCCATAGGCCTGGATACACCACTGATCAGTTAGAACAATAAAGCAACCCTGTGCTCTGTGCATCAAGGTCCCATAAAATTAAAACCATACATATCCCCATCCTTCTTTGTCCCATCCCTGAAATATGAAGAGAATAAATAAGGTCCTTTCAGGTATGTTAAGCCTTTTAGGATAAAAGTGTGAGGTAATTGCAAAATGCTATAAATACAATGCAGATTTTATCATGACAAAATGACCTATAAGTCATCTTTCAGTAACACATCCCTCCTGCTCCATTCTTAAAAGCCACACTGTGAAAGACAGATTTTTGGTTTCTCTTGAATATTAAACACTCACTGAAGCCTGGTTTTGGTTTGATAATCAAGGAAATGGATTTTCTGGGCATTTCCTCCACATAATATGTCTAGAATTGAAGTTGAAATTTCTCCTTCACTGTTTAAAGAATAGTAATAATAACGGCAACAATAACACCTTTCATTTGAATATTGTTTTAATTTTCCAAGTTCTTTAATATCTATCATTTCACTTGATCTTCACAATAGCCTTATGAAGTAAATAGTACAAATGTCATTATCACCATTTTACAGATGAAGAAATTGAGGCTCAGAAATGTTAAGTAATCTGTCCAAGGTTACATGGCTAGTAACTGGCAGGATGAGGACTAGAACTCACAACTCCTGACTCCCTATTTTGTACTCCTTTCCACTACAACATGCACATTCACTGCTACCATTGTCAATCCTGAATTGACCCATGTGATTCCATGGTGCCTCTCTGACCACTAGTTTGCTTTCTCCCATCTAGATTGTGGCTGCCATCCTTGCAATTGCTGGGATCGTGATGATGACTTATGCAGATGGATTCCACAACCACTCCGTGATAGGCATAGCATTGGTGGTGGGGTCAGCTTCAATGTCTGCTCTTTATAAGGTAAATGCGTGCAGAGAATAATCTCTGGGATTTATCCCAGAAGTTTTTGTGGCCTGGATGATAAAGAGAAGGCCAAAGTTCTACCTCAACTTTTACCCTTCCTGGACCTTACTGGTGGAAAGAACCTCACAGGGCATCTCTTGAAAACAGACCACAAAGGAATATGACCTTGCTTTTGATGTTCTTAGACGATGAGCCCTAGAATTGCTCATGCATCCCATGCAAAGTTATGCTGTCACCATGGACAGCACCAGGGTACAAAGCTACTGTTTGCTTTTCCTCTCAATTTTTGTTTTCAAATGAAGCGTTTTGAGTACAGCAAAGGACAAAATGATTGGGACCCAGAAGTAGCTGAGTCAGATTAGCTTGCCCAATGTTTTGTCAAGGAGTTGAAAGAAGACACAGAAACTGAAGTGTATGATCACATTGAACTCAGTTTATAATTACACTGGATTTTTCCATCCTGACCCTAATAAAAATGAGTGGTGCAATGTTGTTTAAACTCTTCATTATGTGACATTTGTTACCACTGCTATTCTGCACATATTATACATCTTAATCCCAGCTCTAGCTCATTCTCGTGGCAAAGGCTTATTGCCTACAGTCCAGTGAAGGGTCCAGTGAAGGGCTGGAGGAAATTGGCTTTAGAATTAAGATTTATTGACTTTTGGTGGATTAAAACAGTTCATCTTTCATAGGGAGAACAGAAAACTGAATTTAAATATCAGATCTACAACTAATTTGCCTTATCAATTGTAAAGGCAACTTAATTTAAGTTCAATACTTATTTATTAACTACACGTTTTATGTGCAAGGGGATAGGTTAGGTACTAAAGATAAAAAAAAGTTACATTGTCCCTGCTTTAAAGGAAGGACAATATATAGTCTATTTATAGTCTGTTGGAGTTTGGAGGATTCAACATACACACATGTAAAAACATAATGTAAAGCAGGATATTATAAAAGCAAAGGAGATGCAAAGTATTCTATGTGAGAAAGGAGATATTCCTTTTACCTGGGATAAGGAAGCAATTAGAGAAGTAATCACAGAGGTATTCTCACCTTTTCCCATTGGCTTCCTTTCTTCAAGACAGCTATAAATCCTATCCTTGGCAGGAGGTTTTTCCCAGTGCCCCCCCTCTCCCCAGTAACTTTCCTCCGAGATTACTTTGCATCTACTCTTTATATATCTTTAATATACATGATTATGTTTTCATGCTGTCTTCTCCATTAGAATGTGAGCTCCTTAAATATGAGGGCTGAGTACTTGCCCTCTATATCCCCAGGGCTTAACATAGTACCATGCACATAAATGTTTGTTGACTGACTGATCTAGACCTTGCAAAAAGAAGAGGATTTCAATTCTAAAGACATGTGATTCAAAGAACATTATTTAAGTTCCTGCCACATGTAAGGCACTGTGCTGAGTGCTAGGAATACAATGGCAAAGACAAAATTGTCATGAAGAGTTGGACACGACTGAAACAACAGAACAACAACAGCATGAAGCAAGTGGGTTTTGAGGAAGTCAAACAAGTGAACATAGATGGTTCCTTCTAGGAGTCTGGCAATAAAAAGGAAGAACAGACATAAAATGAAAGTTTAGGAAAATAGGGTCAAGTAAAGTTTTTTTAATGAAAGGATATAACTGATCATGTTTTTAGGCAGCATGAAGGAACATGTGAACAATAAGGAAAGCTTGAATATGGGAAAGAAAAAAGGAATAATAAATGGGAAGAACTCCTAGAGAAGATGGGAAATGATTGCATCCTGCGCACAAGTAGAGAAGTCTGCCTTGGCAAAGAGAGTCATTTTTTTCCCCTGAAACTGAAGTGGAGAGGAGAAAAGGGTGTGTTCTAGGGCAAATGTACAGAAGTGACAATGTGCAGAGCAAAATTGGAGAACAATAGTCCAATTGGGCTGGAATGTAGAGCATGTGAGGGGAAATAATGTGAAACAGGCCTAGAAAGGTAGGTTAGAGCCAAATTGGGGAGAGTTAAGAAATTTTGCATTTTAATCTCTGAGGAACAGGGAGATATTGATGTTATTTGAGCAGAGGAGTGATAACATCAGACCCATGTATTAAGAATTGTATCTTATCAGTAGTGTGAAGGGTAGACTAAAAGGGGGCAAACCCTTGTCAGGTGGACTGTTAAGAAGTTATTATACTAGTTCCAACAAAAAGTGATGAGAATCTAAACTAGAGTTGTAATTCTATATGTGAAGAGAGGAGGAGACAAATATGAGAAAAACTGTGAAGAGAAAGTCAATGAAATTAGCAAATGATTGAATAAGTGGCAGGAAGGGAAGAAGAATTAAATATGATTCTTAGGTTTCAAGACTGAGTGGCTAGGAGGGCAATGAGGAACCATTAACAGAAATAGAGAAGTTGGCAGGAGGGGCATGTCGAGACAGGATTGATTGGTATACTAAGTGATTAATAAATGCTTTTAAATTCATCCATTCATGCTGAGTTCAATTTTATAAATGCTGAGTTTAAGGTGCTAGCAAGACATCCAGATGGAGATGTCTAGCAGGTGGCTGGAGAAATGGGACTGGATCTCATTCCTTTCTTTCTCTCACCTCCATCTCCAAACCCTCACACCCCCAACACAGAATCACTGGCAAGATGAAGAAAAAACAGAAAGGCTCTGTTGATAAGCTATACTCATTTGTCTCTATGTGTTAGTAAAAATCATAAACATAGAGTACTGAAAAATGGAATCCATAATGAGGCTACAAATTTGGCTTTAATCTTCAGTATCTGCCTTCTCTCTGACCATTTCTTTGACCTCAACAGCCAAGAGGAGGCAAAATTCAAATGTGTGAATGTCACTTTCATTCCTGTCTCCTCCTTGCACACAAGAGATATAAAGGAGCAATGGAATGGCCTGAAAGGAGAGGGCAACAGGATGAAGAGAAAGAAGCAAGAGCTCCTCCCCCCAAAATAAGTACTCAAACTATCCTAGAATGATCGTCTAGATAGTACCAATGCGCTGACCTGCCAGTAACCTAAATGATGAGAGGAGGGGGAGACAAGGAAATGAACAATTATAAGAGACTAGATGACTATGCCTTTCTTCAAAATGCTACAGAGATGTTCAGTTGGGGTAGGGAGCAGGGAAGATGAGCTCTCAATGCTATTTTCTAAAAATGAATAACACCACTTTGTGCTTTCTAGTCAAAGGACTTTACAATCATAGCACTTATTTTCAAGCTGTGTTCTGTCTATAGGGGATCCCTTGAAATAAGGGAGATATGATACATTTATTTGTTTCATCTGTATCAGTTCTATCATCTCTTGGCATTCTCAAGATTGGATCACTAAACCATGAAAAAATAACAGAAGGACCCTTCTCCCACAATTTCAAATACTGAAAACTATTTGTTTTTAGGAGCTATGATACACAAAAACATACAGAGAGTCCATGAAGAAGTGTTCATGAAGCACTTACTACATGCTCAGCACTTTTCTAAGAGTTGGAGATACAAAGAAAGGCAAAAACATAGCCTTTACCCTCAAGGAGCTCAGATTCTACTGGGAGAAACCATATGGAAACAACTACATACATCCAAATTAAATACAGAGTAGATGGATAGTAATCTCAACAGGAAGGCACTAGCAAGTGAGACTAGGGAAAACCTCCTAAAGAAAGTGGGATTTGAGCAGAGTCTCAAAAGAATCGAGGGAGGTCAGTAGACAGAAGTGATATTGGCAATAGAACTCTCTTACGATGCAGCTCTTCAGATACCTAAATGAGTTCAAATACCATGGGTTAGTCGTGTCCTCTAAAACATACTGTCATAACAAAAGTTGAGTGTAATGGCAAGTCTTTACCAGGGGTGTTGGGCCTGTCAACTTACACCACAAAGGAACTCTGCTCATCATAAACAAACGCTAATTTGGGAAAAAGCAACCATCTTTTGCTCATCATATTTTTGTCTTGCAGGTTTTGTTCAAACTTCTCCTAGGCAGTGCTAAATTTGGAGAAGCAGCTCTATTTTTGTCCATATTGGGTGTATTCAACATCCTTTTCATCACCTGTATTCCTATCATTCTTTACTTCACCAAAGTGGAATACTGGAACTCTTTTGATGACATTCCATGGGGAAACCTTTGTGGATTCTCAGTTCTCTTATTGAGTAAGTGACTCTGGTCATACTGGGACCCTTGGAAACAATAACAAATTATATCAATGCCACACATAGAAGCCTTTTTAAATACTGTAGCCTCATTTTAAAAAAAGATATTTTTTATAGGTACCCTCACATTTCCCACAGTGTTTCAGGAAAACTGTGTAGATCAAAAGAAAACACCTACTTAGATAATCTTCAACTCTGATCTCTTCCCATAGCCAAGCAGCTGTGAGCAGACAGGGAACTCTAAAGAAAATATAGCCACTATAATGATGCTTGTATTTGCTGCTTTCTCTGAATGTTGAACTAACATCCAACAATTAGGTAATTCAAAACCATTTCTAGGATATGAAAAATCAAAAAAATTGCCCTAGGTCCCCATTTAGGGAACTACCACTCCTTGGGAGACCCCACAATATTGGTGACTTGGTAATGACTCAGACAGACACTAGAGGAGAATGATGTAGCTTCATCAGCTGGTGCTAAAATACAAAAAGGCTTGAGTCACCCTAATTCACATCACTACAAAGTAGATTAAACTACCCCTAAGACTTGTGTGGTTTATTTCCTCTTTCAGGATTACCATTAATGGTGATCATAATTTGTAACCTAATTATTTAAACTTATTTACCTATGTAAAAATGGAAGTTGGGGGAAGGGAAAAAAGGAGAGAAGGTTATAAGAAATAGAGGATGGATAAGCATGTCATTTGATTTGCCCCAAATTTTATACCTCCTAGCAGTGAATGGCACAGACCCCTGCTAGGGCAGGCTCTAATTTTATTATTTGACATCCATAAGTAAATCTAGTCACTTACTCAGGAGTAAAATACCAGCAGCAGTAGCAGCTGGACAGTACAACTATAGCCTTAGAGGTCCAAACACCTGATTTTCTCTGCCCCTATCCTGTAGATCAGAAGAAAAAGGCCAGCCTTCCCCCAACTCCCATACCACTATTACCAATAAGGTTGATACAAGCATCAATAAAATATGGTTTTGTCATCATTGTTGTTGTCCAAATGTTATCAGTCTATGAAGCTGAATGGCCTTACTATTCTTCATTGCAGCATTCAATATTGTATTAAATTTTGGAATTGCCATTACATATCCAACTTTGATGTCACTTGGAGTTGTATTAAGTGTGCCTGTGAATGCAGGTAAGATTACATAGTTTTCTATACATCTTTTCATTTAAAAAAAATCCTAATATTTCTAGTAATAGATTGCATCTTTTGTCCATTGAAGAACAAGGTTATTTGGATTTTGTTAAATCTATGTTTGTTACACATTTAACCCTTTAATCAGAATTGAATAGTTTTTACTTCTCCCATTTATTTTGCCTGATTTCCCAAAGTAGGAATGAAGCTTGAGGCAGTTGGCAACTGGAAAACTTTTTAGAAGAGTTTTCTAATAACTATGATTTATGCTATGTAAATCAACAGTTAAAGCCATGCATCTTTCTAAAATACAAAGCTTTTACTTCAAATCTGGAATTTCTGCTATTCTTTAAGTTAGAATTTAAACTTGAACTCAAGTTCAATTGAATTAAAATTATTAAGTACCTACTATGTGCTAGGTTCAAAGATAAAATGTGACACAATCTCTGCCCTGAAGAAGCTTATATTCTACTGTTGAAGTTAGTTGGCACAATGTCTGGAGTTCGGACCTTGAGTCAGGAAGACTTGAGTCCAAATCTGGCCTTAGACATTTACTAGCTGTGTGACCCTGGACAAATCACTTAACCTTTGTCTGCCTTAGTTTCCTCCAGCAAAATAGGGATAATAATAGCACCTGCCTTGCAAGACTATTGTGAGGATTAAATGAGATAATAATTGTAAAGCACTTAGCACAGTGCCTGGCACATAGAAGGTGCTTTGTTGTTGTTCAGTGTTTCAGTCATGTCTGACTCTTCATGATGCCATTTGGGGTTTTCTTGGCAGAGATACTAGACTGGTTCATCGTTTCCTTCTTCAGCTCATTTTATAGCTGAGGAAAATGAGGCAAACAGGGTTAAGTGACTTGCCCAAGGTCACACAGCCAATAAGTATGAGGCCAGATTGGAACTCAGGAACTTAGCTGCCAAAATGTGCTTAATAAATGCTTATTTTCTTCCCTTTTCCCCTTCCCCCTGATTTTTGAGATAAGCAGGAGAAATATTCATTTTTCTTATATTAAAAAAGAAAAACTAAGTCTCAGAGGTTCACGATTTGCTCAAGATTACACAGCTAATAATAAATGGAATCTAAGTTCAAACCTTTCATTACAAAGCTAGAGGAAATGCCATTACTATTTTTACAAGTTCTATAGGTAGATTGATGCTTCTGGGTTGAGGGGAGGGGTAGAAGAGCAAGAGAAAAGAATGGGCTATTCCAATATGGTATATGCATATTGTAGAAACATAATTAACATACTGAAGTACTTTTTAAAAAATCTTCTTCCATTTCTAATTGTACTTCAAATCAAAAACAATTTTAAAAAATTGATTAAGTACAGTATTGGTTATTCTTCAGGCACTGTATTAGATAGTGGAACTATGAAGCTGAAATAAGACCTAGTCCCTTCCCTCAAGGAGCTTCTGATTTTCAATTCATTTCAATTTAATTTAATATAACAAACATTTAGTCACTGCCTACTATGTGCTAGGCACTGGGGCTCTAAAGACAGAAGGAAATAGTACCTGCCTTCAAGGAACTTATATTCTATTGGCGGGGGGGGGGGATGACGGAGACAGAGAGACAGAAATAGAGACAGAGAGAGATAACCTTTACACAGAGAAATAAATATAAACATATACAATGCAAATTCAGGAAGGAGTTATCTCTAACAAAAATATTTTTCTTGGTCTATGTCTCTCAAACAAATAAACACAGCACATACATCTACACGCCTATTTGCTATAATTACATATAAAGCCTTATTCCCCACCACTCCAGTATGAGCCTTCCTGCCAACACATGTTCTGGGAGATAAAAGATCCCATTTTCTGATTTTGTTATAGTTTACAATGTGTTTCTTACAACAACTCTGTGAGGTAGGTAGTGCCTCTCCATTTTGAGGTAACTGAGGTTCAGAGATCAGAAACAAGTTGCCAGTGGTCACACAACAGGTAAACACCATAGCTGGGAAATAAATCTAGGTCTCTATTAAATTTAAGTCTACTATCTCACGATGACTTTTTTTTTTTTACTGAAGTTGTGATTTCTACACCAATGAGGAACTACCTTTGGTTCCTTCTCTACAATTTATACTCATAGATGATTGCCTGGGCCATTTAGAAGTGAAGTGACTTTTCCTAGAGGTACATTATGTATTATGTATCAGAAGCAGGGCTCTCTATCCATTACGCCACCCTGCCTTTTCCCACGCTGACTCTTGATCAAACACAAATAATTATTTGTGTTCTCTTTGAGACAGATTTTCTTATCCCCTAGCTGCTTTGTTTGTACCTAATTTGAAGGTTTTTGTCTTGCCTTACTTCTCTGTATCACCAGCTATCCTACCTATCCCAGCCTTAAGGATCTTACAGGGCTTACAGGGTGAGGCAGATCACGTCAGCACTTGCATCAGAATGATTCGGGGATGAGGATTTTGTCCCTAATTTTCTTTGGTGCGCTTACCCTCCCTTCCTGCCAGCAATAGAAAGCCCTTCTGCCCAGACAAGGCACCAGGAACTTCTCAGTCAGCCCTGGAATTTCTCCAGCTCCCAGGTATCAGAGGATTAATCTCCCTGGGGTTAGCAAGTTCTTATCCCATCAAGTGCCTCATAAAACATGCCTGGAATTCCATTCAAAGTAACTCTTTGGAATCAGTATTTGCCAGGCTTTATCTTACATAGTATACTGTTTAACCTCTCACATTGATTTTTTCATATATGCCTCCCACAATGTTTTGGGGTCTTGACCTCTCTGGAGTTCCAGAATGTTAACTAATAGCTCTCATTTATGTAACAGTTTAAGTTTTATAAGGCATTTTCCTCCCAACAACCTTGTGCAATGGGTCATACAGTATTATTATCCTTATTTTACAGGTGGATAATCTAAGACTCAGAAAATTTAAATGATTGGCCTGAACTAGAGTATTGTTGGTAGAGGGAAAGAGATGGATACAAGGGATAGTATTGAGGAAGAATTGACAAGACTTAGCAAATGGTTGGATATGATGGGGTGACGGGACCTGAACCCCTAAAAGGAAAAGACCATGTCTTTGAAAGCAGCCCAGTCCATGAATTTTCCCACACATTTCAGCAGCTTAGATCACTGGCTGTCAGCCGAGGCACCTGGCCCAGCCCAGCCCAGCCCACCTAGATATTCAACAGTTCTTTCACAATGGCTCTTGAGCCACTCTAGACCATTTAACTCCTTTCACTGTCACACCTGTCCCACCCCAGGTGATTTACCGCTCCTTAATCCCATCCAGATTTTCTCACTGTTCCTTCTTTTTGTATGTAAATATCAGTCATCCCCATTCCCATGTCATCAGTCATCCCCATCAGTCATCCATAAAGGCCAAATTCACAAGGAATCACCCTGCCCCACTATTAGCATTACAATTAAACCTCACTACTTTGACTGAAAGAAGGCTTGAGTGATTAAATTCTTTCCAGGTAGACCCCCTGTACCCTGACATTTCAGGGTCCCCAATACCCCAACCACATCAGATATAGAGAGTGAAGGAGAGAAAAGATAACTGAGGCTGAGAACCTGAATGGTGGGATGGATGATGTTGCTCTCAACAAAAAAAAAGGGGTGGAGTTTGGAGAAGAGATAGTTTGGGATGGAGTGGGAGGCAGGAGAAGATAGTGAGTTCAGTTTTGGAGCACATCTGGGTTTAAGCAGCTGATGGGAAAGAAGTCAAATAGGTAGGAGAACAGCATCATTACAGGCAAGGAAGGATAAGATATCCAGGAAGAAGTGATGGTCAGTGGTTTAAAAAAAACTATAGAGACATCAAGTAGAATGAGGTCTGAGTAAAGGCCTTGGGGTTTAATAATTAACAGATGATTGGTAACTTTAGAAAACATTCTGAGCTGAATGGTGGGCTCAGAAGCCTGATTATAAGGAATGGAAGAGTGGGAATTAAAGAAATGAATTAAAGGAACATAGGCAAACCCTTCAAGGAATCTGGGTGTGAAGGGAAGAAGAGATAAAGGAAAATAACTTGGAAGTATGACAAAGTCAAGAAAGCATTTTTTTAACCTTTAAGAGAGATATGGACATGTTTGTAAACACTGAGAAAGGAGCCAGTCGATAAGGAGAGGTGGAGGATGAGAGAAAGAAAGGGGACAAATTTCCAGAGGAAGTAAAAGGGGATGGGATCTTGAGAATAAGTAAATGGATTGGTTTTAGGAAGGAGAAGAGTTATTTTGTCCTCAGAGCATATAGCAAAGGTAGAGGAATATGGGAATGGCATAGAAACATTTCAAAGTATGGAGTAAGGGAGAACAGAGAATTCAGAATGGATAGGCTCTACTCTCTCAGGCAAGTAGGAGACAAGATTCTCTACTAAGATGAGATGATTCTCATCATACCAATGAGAATATAGGGATAGAAAGGAATGTTGAGGTCATCTAGTTCATAACTCAATGATGAGAAAAATGTAGCTCAGAGAAATAGTCTCTACCCTCAAGAAAATTACATTCTAATGGGGGATGGCAACATATAAAAAGAAGCTGAAAATGAAGGTGAGGGAGATAGGGAAACGAAGGTAGCCATTATAGGATGATGGCTGAGAAATTCTAGGGAGTGGGAAATGTAGCCTGGAGAGGAATGAAGACATTGATGGCCTAGGAGTCCTCCTTAAAACAGAGGTTCTGAACCAACCAATTAGAGGAGGAGGTCACGGGAAGGACAAGGCACTTTTAATATGAGAAATCCAAGAGTGAAGTGAGGCTTCCAGGGTACGGAGGCTTCTGGGGCATGGTAGAGCAAGTCCAGAGACTCAGGAGTACAGCTGGAAGAGGAGTAAGATAGAGAGGGAGAAAAGGTATAAGAGGAAATTTAGGAGAGTACAGTGTCAGGGACAAGAAAAGAAGGGATATTGAGAAGGAAATAGAGGGTCAACAGTGGCAGATACTGCAGAGGGCTATGAGAGGGTGAAGACTGACAAAAGGCAGGTATTTAGGCAATAGAATATCTTTGGTGTACTTGGGGTGGAAAGGCATGGTTTTGGTAGAATTATGAGAAACAATGCTAGATAAAAAGGGATCCAGAAGTAAGTAGGTGGTAAGGAAGTGGAAGAATTAAGTGTATTCTAGCCTTTATACAAATCAGAAGAAAGAAATAAAATGGTGTTCAGTAAGATATCAAGTTCAAGGGAAGATCGGCTTTAGAATGTGTATACCTTTATGTCTGTGTGATTGCTTTTAGGATAGGGAAGACCTGATTATTTTTGTTGACAGAAAGAAAGGAACAAGTGAACGAGAGAATGAAGATGGAACAAAAAAAAGTAGAACAGATGCTAGACTAAAGCCAGTTCATTCAATCCAACAAGCCTTAAATAAACATCTCCTGTGTATCACGCATTGTGCTAGGCACTGAGGATACAAAGACCAAAATGAAACAGCCCTTGAACTTATATTCTACTGGGAGAAAATTACAAATACATAGATAAGTTTAAAATACATAATGTAATTATGAGGGAAAGCCTTTAAAATGAGGGAAACAAGAAAGGCTATTAAAGAAAATGGCATGAGTGAAGGAAGTTAAGAATTCCAAGAGGAAAAGGTGATGAAGAAGAAAATTCTAAGCATGAGGGACTGTTAATGTTGTGGATAAGAAACAACGAGTAAGCCATTTTGGCTGGAATAGAGAGTGCGTTATGGGAAAAATCCTAGAGGAGACAGAGTAGCATGGAGTCATCCTCTGAAACAGTACAAAACAAGAAAAGGGGATCAAGATACCAAGAGGTATTTAAGTGTATAGGAGTGGAATAAATAGGTGAGAGTTGAGGGAGGTAGGCGAAGGTTAAAGGTTTATGCAAAGAGGAAGATGTTCACAATAGTTATGAGGAACATTTGGTAGGGAGTTAATAAAAGTTGATCAAGTATAAAGATTGTGAAGTAATAATAATAAATAACATAGTATTTACTATAGGGGCAGCTAGGTGGCACAGCAGATAGAGTGCTGGGCCTGGAGTCAGGAAGAAACATCTTCCTTAGGTCAAATCTGGCCTCAGACACTTACTAGTTATGTGACCCTAAGCAAGTCACTTAACCCTGTTTGCCTCGGTTTCTTCATGTGTAAAATGAGATGGCCAATCACTCCAGTATTGTTGCCAAGAAAACCCCAAATGGGGTCACAAAGAGTATGACACAACTGAAAAAATGACTCAAGTGCTTACTACATGACAGGCACTGCTCTAAGTTTTATTATATTATTTATAATATGATATATTTATAACATATAAAAATAAAATATAATTCATAATATATAAAATATAATATATTTATAGTATTATCTCATTTGATCCTCACAACAACCCTGAGAAGTAGGTACTATTATTATCCCCATTTTACAGATGAGGAAACTGAAGAAACAGAAGTTAAGTGACTTGCCCCAGGTCACACAGCTAGGAAGTGTGTGAGGCTGGATTTGAACTCAGGTCTTCCTGACTTACAACCCAGTGCTCTGTTTACTGCACCACCTTTTATCCAATTCAATAAACGTTAATTAAGTACCTACTATATATTAAGGCCTAGGAATACAAAGATAAAATATTACACAGTCTCTGGCCTCAAGGAGCTTTTATTTTAGTCTAGAAGATAGGAAAGTTAAATAGCAAGATAATAATAATAGTAAAGCTAGCATTTATATAGTAGCTATAATATGCCAGGTACTACACTAAGAGCTTTACAAATATTATTTCCTTTGATCTCACAATATCTCTGAGAGGTAGATGCTATTATTATCCCCATTTTACAGATGAAGAAACTGTCAAACAAAGGTTAAGTGACTTGCCCAAGGTCACACAACTAGAATAATATATTTCTAATGTTATGTGGAATAATAAATACTCTCAACTACTTTAAGGTGGGGGGGCAGTGATTGTGCACCATGGAGATTTGATTATTGGCTTGTCAAGAAAACAGGGATTTTGGATTTTACAGGCTGTTAAAGCTTGTTTCTCACTTTGGACTACCCATCTTTAATGTGAACCTTCAATGGGCTTTGCTTCCTGTGGCTTTCAATAAAATTAATTGATGATAATGACATTTAGGGCATTAGAGTTAGCCAATGCCCTAGGGCCAAAAATGAATGTGTTTTGCTTATTTTTAGAGGAATTTTTAAAATCTCTTCCAAGTCTTAAAAAATGTCTTAATATAGCTGAATTGACTAAATCCAAACTTCCTGGGCCTTGCTTCTTCTTTTCCACACAAATATCTACTTAGGCTTAGATTCAAATATAATTTTTGTGAGTAAAATTATAAACACATAAATGTAAGGGCTTGTGACAACAGAGATTTTGCTGTTTTAAGCAGAGGTTAGCAGAGGTTGCCTTAATCCACTCTAACAAAGTACATGCTGAGGGGCAGCTAGGTGGCGCAGTGGATAGAACATCGGCCCTGGATTCAGGAGGGACCTGAGTTCAAATTCAGCCTCAGACACATAACACTTACTAGCTGTGTGACCTTGGGCAAGTCACTTAACCCCACTGCCTATTCTAAAAGAAAAAAGAAAAAAACGCTGAAAAAATCTTCTAGGGCAATGGTGCCCAATGGGCAAGGGTGGCTTTCTAGGATCCCAAGACCCTTTGGGAGGTCCCATGAAATCAAACTGCTTTCATACTAAAACTAAGGCATTATTTACCTATTAAAATATTATTTCCTCTTCCAACTACATAGTTGTATGAAGCTGGATTTTCTTCATATACTTCAACAAAAACAATATGTTACAACAGATTGAACACAGAGGCAGGCATCCAGCCATCTTCTAGTAAGCCAGGCATTAAAGAGATTTGTAAAAAATATGTAAAGCCATACAGCTCTTCTCACTAATTTCTTTTGTTTTAAAAATACACTTATTTTTCACAAAAATGTTATGTTAGCATGCATTAGGTTTGTTATTGTTTTAAATGAATTGATAAATATTTTTAAATGGATCAGTTTTAATTTCTAATATGGCAAATATCAATAGATACAGCCCTTATAAACAAAACTCTTTGGGGTCCTCAATAATTTTTTTAAATATAAAGGTGTTCTGAGACTGAAGAGTTTGAAAACTTCTGCTCTACTGTGCTGTGGTGAACCTCTGGTCAATATCATTTAGACAAAAGGAAGTATATAGGCTTAGGAGTGTCAAAAAGATAAGAATCCTCTACCACCATCACCACCTTTACCCTACTAAATGGGAAAGGATGTCTTCCTCTACTCCATGCACTGCCTTTGTTGCTCATATCACTTAGTAACTAACCATAGTTCACTGTTTCATGCAGTGGTAGATCACTACACAAGCCAAATTGTCTTCAATGGAGTTCGGGTCATCGCCATCATTATCATCGGCCTGGGCTTTCTCCTACTGCTACTACCAGAAGAGTGGGATGTCTGGTTGATCAAACTGCTCATGCGCCTCAAAGTGAGGAAGAAGGAGGAGACAGCTGAAGGCAATGGAGACATCGGCTCTGGACTACAGAGCAAACACAGAAGGACCCGCCCATCCTTTGCGCGTTAATGTCACTCACTCATGAGGTAGTGGTAACAAATATCTTATTCAAGGTTTAAAAGGTCTTGTCTCGCAAAAAGACACATATGTCCAACATGGTGTACATAAGTGTACAGTTTTGGTATCTTACAGTAAGTCACCCGGCATTTATGGGCATGTCCAATCTGCTTGCACTTTTTTCACATCAGACCTTTCACTTAAGAATACCACTTGCATATGGAAGAAAAAAGGAAAAGAAGAAAAAAAAAACAAGAACCTCTCAGCTCTTTTTAAATGAATGTAACATTAAGATTATCTTTGCATTGATTGTTTAGGAGACAGGTTTTCACGACAAGCCAAGGCGACTGGTTTTCATGACAAGCCGGGACAGCCATTTTGAATCTTAGCAACTGAATATATTACATTACACACTGTGACTTTTTTTTTAAGATAGAGTAAGTCATACTTTGTTTTATACTAGAGCTCTACTCTTAATTTTATGGAGTTTCAATGAACCAAAAGAAAATTGAAGGTTTATTTTGAATGGAATATAGGATATGGAGAAGGAATAATAGAAAGGATAATGTGTTGGGTGATCTGCTATGACTGGTCTGGAAAGGGAAGTCAGTTAGTTTAAGGAGAGAAAGGCTCTGCACGAGGGAAATTGTGAAAGAAAGATATCAGAGCCCCAGCTGGTCTCTTTCTGCATGTGTCCATTTAAGATCATGCAAAAGAAATTACAGTGCCTTCTAAAGAATTTTCATCTTTACCTTTGTGCAGCGAGGTGACATTGTAAGTCACCAGCACCATCTTATAATGTAGATGTAGGGATCTTTAAAAACAAATTCTATTATAAGTACACATATGAATATATAAAATCACAAAGCTGATGATCAGTTATATATGTACATATATATAAATATAGGAACACAGTTTGTTACATATAATATGATTAAAAGGTAGACTAAGAGAAGGTGAATTGCTGGTTGCTTTGACTTCATGGTTAGATATTTTAAAAATGATTTACTGAAAATGTAAACCTTTTTATGAAACTTTTAAGCAACAGGCTGTTTACTTATATAATTTAGGTCTACCAGAAAATTCTATCTGTGATAGATCTGTAAAGAGGAAAAGGGGTGGGGTTATAGTTTACTATTTTTGAAGTTTACATTGTTACATATGAAATGGAAACATTATTTTGAAATGTTGTCATAACCCAATGGTGCATTCTGTAACCATGGAGTTCTTTGTTTCATGGGAAAAGGGGCATTCATGAATTGAACTTTTTAGCAAATTAATATTCTCAAAGTCCATTACCTGTTTGGTTAAACAGATGAATAAAAGAAAAATTGGACAAAGTTAGTGACCCACTCTTTTTATTCGCCATTCCATTTGTAAAGTTTCTTTTTTTATGGTCCTAGGTTAAATATTTTCTATAGCTCTCTCCCTTTCATAATTTCATGTACACAAACACACACTCATCTATCCCCCAGAAGTCTGTCCCTCTTTTACTGCATTGGGGATCAAAAAGACATCCCATGAGTCAAACAAACACATACCAGTCAGCCATCTCTGATTTAAAAAAAAAAACCTTTTTTGCAGAATCCAATTGTCTAAGTCAGGTCATTTAAGACTTCTAGACCTTGAATTTTTATGCTCCCTTTAAGCCAAGAGACTATGAAAGATGAAGAGGTTGAGAATTTTTTAAATGGGAAAAATTCTCTAAACTCTTCTTTCATGATACAGTGAGTTTGTGCTTGTCATAAGAACTTTGGTGGAAATCTCTGTAAAGAGGACATAGAGAAGTTAAACGTGTCTTTGTCCTTCAAGTTATAATTCATTCAATCTCCAAGACCCATTGTGATTTAAAGCAAGACAATGCCAATGGGCACAGGCAGCTCTTGATCAATTCTTGGCCAAGCCATAGGGTGAATGTTTGTTATAAAATAGTAAGTTTCAATCCCTTTGTATCTGAAGAAATGCTTATACTCTTCAGATGCCTAGGGAGGTAACTGACAAAAAAAAATGAAGATGTTGTTTTGAGGTGATCCCATGCCTTTCAAAATCAAAATAACTTCTGGGCATATGAGAACTCAATGACTACCATGGCCCCTGAACACTGCAGAGACAATAGCAAAGGAGAGCATGTATGAAGATATAGAGACGTTTTGAAGCATAGAGGAAGGAAATTGAGGGTGTTCACCTCTAGCCCCCAAATTCTCAGTAAAGAAGGACATGAAGTCTTCTGGTAACCATAAAGAGAGGGGAGTAGGTGGTAGTTTTGGACTTAGCATTTCTTAAAGGGCATTTCCTTCAGATAGTAAGAGGTTAAAATTCACTATGATAAGGAGAATCAGAAAGATTTGAAATAATACTCGTGGGAAATTCAGTATGGAGGGGATGTCAACCAGCAGTAAAGGTCCAACCAATGTTATATAGCATGCATATTAGTCTACTAGAATAAAATAGGTTTATCACTATGTGAAATGCAACTTCCAACTTATTTGGAAGACCCTTATGTCTTTCCTTCACGATGTGACCTGGTCAGTTGGATCTGGAGGGGATGGACGTGAGTGACCCATTTATTGGGAGTAAAAAGTCTTTTGCCATCATTCCACCTCAGACTACTGTAGTAGCCTCCCAACCATACCCCCGCCACCAGTATCTCCCCTCTCCAATCCATTTTCCACACAGCTACCAAAGCTCAGATTTGACTCTATGACTCCCCTGCTCAATATGCTTCAGTGGTTCCATCACAACCTGGCTTCAACATGCCATTCCTGCCTTAGTTTACTCCCTTTTAAGTGTACATTACTCCTTTACTTTATAATTGAGCCATTCCAGCCTTCTTGCTGTTCCTCACACATCATACCCCGTCTCTCACCATCAAGTCTCTGCAAAAGTTGCCCCCACACCTGGAATGCTCTTTCTTCTCAGCACTGCCTTTGAGAATCCTTGGTTTTCTTCAAAACTCCATTTAAGCACTACCTTCTACAAGAGCCTTGCCTGATGCCCTCTGCTGCTAGTGCCTCCCCACCAAACCAAAATTAACTTGTATTTATTTCATACAGACTCATTTGTGTACATGTCTCCTCAATAGAATGTAAGCCCCTAGAGGGCAAGGACAGCTTCGTTTTGATTTTGTATCACCCATGACTAGCATAGTGAGTAGTCTCCTAATAAATGTTTGTTGTTGTTAGTGACGATAAAGATGATGATGATGATGATTGATGATTGGTTCCATTATACTGATTCCCTGCTATCTTTAGGGATCTTCCTTGACCCTGAGTTTGTGCTCTTCTTAAGTGTTTTTAAGAGGAAGTGGAAAAACAGGAAACAGAATAGAAAACAAATCCGAGATTCGCCAGAACCACTGACCTGATAAGTTACTAAACCTAGTCCTTGGTGTCTTGATCCATTGGAATTCTTAGTGTTCAACTGAGAAATGTGATAGCTGCTTCCCTTAATGGAACTGCACTGAAGGAGGGCCCATATCAATTAGAAAAAGTCCAGACTATAGAATACTTTTAAAAATAAATGATGTTTTATGACTCACAAGTAATGGAATTCAAATAATGTGGTATTGGCAGAGTTCCTTGGGAAAAGGGTTTATAATTAGAAAAATTAATTATTTCCAAAGAAAAAGATTTTTAAGCACTTTAAGGTGCCAGAAAATCAGATTCTTTTAAGTAATTTTAAAGACTAACATTATTCCTTTAATTGTCATTCTTCCAGCAAACATTTATTGTTCATTTTATGCCTCAAACCCTTTCTTTATAAATGGTACCACTCGTGAGTCCCTTGTCCAAGTAATAAAAAATTCTGAATTCATGAGTTTTTTTTTAATTGCAGTTAGCTATATTCTGGCCTTTAGTTCAAACTGAGGTGATTTTTAGAACATCAGTGATGCTGAAGGTAACTTTCAGGGTTTGTGTGGAATTTCTTTTTCTCTAATCCAAAGTCAACTTTCTTGTACCTTTCTTGGTTTGTTTTTTTTTTTTTGGTTTTTGGGTTTTTTTGCTTTCAGGCAATTGGGGTTAAGTGACTTGCCCAGGGTCACACAGCTAGTAAGTGCCAAGTGTTTGGTCTGAGGCCAGATTTGAACTCGGGTGCTCTATCCACTGCGCCACCTAGCTGCCCCTTGTACCTTTGTTGTATCCTTCACCAAATAAAATAAATTTCAATATTTTCCAGAAACATGGGTCAGAATTCACACTCATTACAAAGGAGACACCTTTTACCAAGGACTGAGTGCTTCATTTTCAATGAAATCAAGAACCCAGGATAAGTCCAAATGTAGTACATGAGCCTATGTTTGCTCACATAAATGTAGACACCACATTATAAAAGCAAAATTCAGGTGTTTCGAAACCATGGTATAATAAAGGAGGAATTGTTAGCTAGGTTACATAAATTGCCATTATATGGGGTTTCCTGGGCAAGCTTTGAGGGACTAATCACATAGCCCTCTGAGAAATATAGTTCACTATGCCTCCTCTGAACAATATCTGGGGACCCTGAGAGTTTTGGTGGTTTTCTTTTTCTTTTTTTGTTTTTTGGTCTTTTTTAGTTTTGGTTTGGTTTTGGTTTTTGCTTGTTTGTTTTTCCTCTGGAGTGACTGGAGGTAGAGATGGAGAGCTTTTGGCTCCAATCTTTTCTGGTTGGACAGAGTGGGGAGGTGAGCAGAGACCTCATGTTTCATAGTAATACCGAGTGGTTAGGCTAACTGCTGTGCAGAGAAAGGTAAAATCTAGATGTATTGAACCATGGTATGGTAAGAAAGAATTGTGAACTGGGTTACATTAAATATCATTTATGGAACTCCTTCTCCCCTTACCACTTCCTTTCAGATACTTATAGCCTAATACAGCCATGTGCTAGAATAGGGTTCTTAATCTGAGGTCCATGAATTTTTAAGAATATATATTCTTTCCAAGACACTTTCCCTTGACAGGTAGATGGTATAAGGACCATTACACTCATATCATACAGGAATCTAAGACTCAGGAAAACTAAGTGATTCCTCCCACAGTCTTGCACCTGGCAAGCGGAAGAACCAAGTCTCAAACACAGTCTTTTAATCGCAAGTCTAATATTCTTTGTGCTTCCTCTCCATGTGAATAAAGTAAGCAGATAACTCTTCTTTCCACTTAGGAGGAACCTGGAGATATCCTGGGCCTTTAGCCCAGAGTGTCCCCCTCAGAATGTGTTGTTGGTCTTCTCCAACACTTGCAAAGTGAGTGTAAGAGGAAGGGAAAGTAGCACTGTGGCTGGCTCTTTGTCCTCATAGGTTCCTTCAGAAGCTGCACTGAAGAAACTCCTCTCCTTAAGAAACAAGCAAGTCACGTTTTAGGAGCAGCTAGGTGGGACAGTAGATACAGTGCTAGACCTGGAGTCAGGAAGACCTGAGTTCAAATCTGGCCTCATATATTTACTAGCTCTGTGACCCTGGGCAAATCAATTAACCTTTTTTGCCTCATTTTCCTCATCTGTAAAATGATCTGAGGAAGGAAATGGAAAACTCCTACAGTGTCTTTACTAAGAAAACCCCAAAAGGGGTCATGAAACTTGTGAGACCCTCTCTATGGCTCCATGACACTTAAATTGTTTCTTTCTAGATGCTTATAATATTTAACCTGGGAGCTCTGGAATTTGGCTATAATACTCCTGGGAGTTTTCATTTTGAGGTCTCTTTCAGGAGGTGATCGGTGGATTCTTTCAATTTCTATTTTACCCTCTGGTTCTAGCTTATCAGGGCAATTTTCTTCAATAATTTCTTGAAATATGATGTCTAGCCTTTTTCTTTGATTATGGCTTTCAGGTAGTCCAATAATTCTTAAATTATCTCTCCTGGATCTATTTTCCAGGTCAGTTGTTTTTTCTGATAAGATATTTCATATCTTCTATTTTTTCATTCCTTTAACTTTGTTTTGTTATTTCTTGATGTCTCATAAAGTAATTAGCTTCCACTTGCTCAATTCTGATGTTTATGGAATAATTTTCTTCAGTGAATTTTTGTACCTCTTTTTTTCCATTTGGCCAACTCTACTTTTTAAGGAGTCCTTACCTGTGGTGAATTTTTTGGGCCTCTTTTACCATGTGGCCAATTCTGTTTTTTAAAAATGTTTATTTTCTTCAGTATTTTTTGTTCCTCTTTTACCAAGCTGTTGACTCTCTTTTCAAAATTTTCTTATATCACTATCATTTCTTTTCCTAATTTTTATGTTACTTCTTTTATTTGATTTTTAAAACACTTTATATGCTTTTTCAGGAATTCTTGTGGGGCTTGCTTCCAATTCACATTTTTTTCCTTTGAAACTTTGCTTCTAGCTGTCTTGACATCGTT